CCGCAAAAAATTTCATCTATGTAACCTTCTTCTGCGCACTAGTAAAAAAAATTCCTTGCAAAATTTTAGTATAAGACAAGCCCCGCTATAATTGTAAAACTGATCCTAATGTGTCAGGCACGTGAATAAAGCAAGAGATTTAAAGTAATAAGCCCTATTGTTAGGGTTAGCGTTAGGGTCTGGACGAAGCATTTCTTATACCAAAATTTAGCAAGGAGTTTTTTTTGTTAGAGCGCAGAAGGCGTTTCATATAGTGTTTCGATCCTATTTTTGACAGGCTATCCGGATTCTGTTAAATCCGGATTGAATCCGCATTAATTATATATAAGCCAGCTTTTGTGTGCACTCTTAGGTTCGTTATTCAAGTTTCTTGACCAATCCGAATAAAAATCTCTAATCTGAATATCTGAATTTATCTAGATTTAAGGATCAAATTCAGACAGTCGGATTTTGGATCGAAACACTAGTTTCAGAACCGGTTTGTAACTTGTCGTTATAATTTTATTGGCTAATAACTCGAAATTCGCATAACGATAATTCGCATAATTTACGTTACACCTGATCCCACGATCTAATTGGCTGTATTGTATATAAATCGCGTATCTGTCATTTTTTTCAATTTACCCTAAGAACATCTCAAAGAATCAGATTTTGAGATTAGATGTAACATGAAATCAAACCAATCAAAACAATTGAATAAATGAAAATTTAAAGTGAGGCTAGAGCATAGTATATACCAAAATTTGGTGATGAATTTTTTTTTTTGTTAGAACACAAAAGCCAGTTTTGTGAGCAAGATTTTGAGCTACGATTTTTCAAAAATGTATATAATCAATCTTGAAAGCTAATTGGTGCGCAGAATTTTGAATTTTTTTATCAAGAGGGCTTCAATGTGTTTTAAATTTATTTTTTTTTAACTATAAATAATCTTTTAAATTAAGCTCAGTTTAGTCTAACTTGGTCTATTTTTAGCCTAGTTTAATCTGTTTTTTTTTTTTGATTTAATTACAGTTTAGTCCTAAACTATTAAAAAGCCAATAGTTTAAATTTATAGTTTAAATTTATAACAAAAAACTAGTTTTTAAAATAAAATACTGGTTTAAATAAATAAATCTTAAAACTATAATTTAAATTATAGCTATTTAAAATTAAAATCAAATAAAATTATATAGCTTCTTATAGATTTAAACCAGTTTTATAATAGTCCACTAGTTCAAAACTGGGGTGTTTTATGCAAGTCTAATTACAAACATTGTGCAGGTATATAGTACGTATAGTAAAATCATTAATCTAATCAATAATGTAGTGATAGCGTAAATAGTAAAAACATATAAAATTTAAATTGCAATAACTCTTGAACAAGCCAACCTACACAAAATTATATTTGTCGGGCTTATCTTAGTGTGCTCTTTAAAGTAACGTCTTTTTTTTCAAAGTTACGTTTTGATGATTTTATTAAAAATGCATCAAAAACGACTATTTGCATGGAAATTGAGTAAAAAAAGACGTCATATCAAAGAGCACACTAAAATAAATCCGACAAAGATAATTTTATTTGTGCAATTTAAATTTTATACTTTTTACTATTTACGCTACCATTACGTGAGAATCAACTATATAATATATACGTATTAAATTAAACTTCGTTATTATCAAATTACGATATATATTAAATTAACCTTCGTTATTATCAAATTACGTAAGATTATAAGAAGCTAACGCCAAAACAAATAATTTAGTTTAAAATAACTCCTATTCCAATATGTCAAATAATATGATAATAATTTAATTTAATTGCTGTTAGCGACTGTTCAGTTTCAATTAATAGAAAATCTAATTTTGGCGGCCGATCTCGAGGAGAAGTATGAAATGCTTATGCTGTCGAACAAAAAAATGTGAATTACTATTCTATTCGATGCGACTATTGTTCTAAGCATTGGAAAAAAGGAATACCAATGTAATGGAATCACATTTAGCCAATGAATGTTCCAGTTGTCCACAAGATGTACAAAGTATTGGAAGGATAAAATTGGAAATCGACATAATAATTATCGAAGAACTTCAAATTCAAAACGTCACAAATCAAGATTCTGTTAATGCAAATAATTCCGAATCGCTTTAGGGTTGGATGTGGTATATTTTTTGAAATCGCAAGCATATAACGTTTTATCAGTTTATATTCTGATAGTTTTAACGATTTAATCGAAGTATTAAAAATATAAACAGTATAAACCTATCACGCGGATAGTTTATATTTTTATCAGGTTTTGTCAGGAGTATTGTTGGAAATATGAAAAATAATTTAACTGGATTTGGAAAATGGAGGGTAAAGTAGAAAAACAAAGAGTAAAATAAAACAGAGAAATGAAAGATGTTTTTTGGTATATCTTAGTCAGTTTTAGGCCTGTAGCCTTCGTTTAGGGCTTGTTTCGACCAGAAGGATGAGCTTTACAAGTTTTCTTAAAGCTTCAAGGTGGGTTTTAAGATTAGTTTTTGCGGAAAATTAAAAAAAAATAAGTTTTGGAATCAAAGGCGCCGGTGCAGTTTTTGAAGCAAGTTTGAAAGTTAAAGACTTGAAACGTTCAAAATATATGTAAAACTATGAGCTGAACAAGTTTACTTAAGATGTTAAAGGCAGTTGTCTTAATAAAATAAGAAGATATAAGCGATGTTTTGTGAATGAACTTTTAGTTCCATCCGTACGGATTTTGTGTAATCCGTACATTATACTTTTTTGTTTATTGGTGTAATAGAAATTCGTTTTTAAACATCCTAACGTTAATTTTGTTAATCATGTCTTCATCAACTAATATCAGTCGTCCTTACGATTTATATGAATTTCCCTATGATTTAAGAAAGGAAAAACTTAAAAATTGGGAAGATTATGGCAAAATTTGCGGCAAAATTTTTGCTGTACTTAAAGGTAATATTGGAGAGCTACAGGTGCTGGACACCTTAAATAAATTGCCCGGAAGATTTTTTGCAAGATACCCGATTAAACCTTATGGTGATGGAAAAATAGACATTCAAGGATTTTATAAGTCCACTCATTTTTTGATCCAAGTCAAGTTCACGGCAAAAAAGTTCGGTTATGGTAAAACATCAGAAGAAATTGAAAATTTCGCGGGTATAGTCAAAAAAAATTATA